AACTTCAAGTTGTTGTTGACTTCTAGGCTTGAATCTTCAACTTGCTTTCGGTGTTAGGTTGGTACAAGTGATCGTCGGGAAGAGTTGTGAAGTTTTTGTATGATTAAAAGAAATTTTTAAAAATAGTTAGGCTTTTAAAATATATAAATAACACTTATTTTTATAAAACAAAAAGACAGATTCATATCTTTAGTTTTTTAGCACTATATTGTTATAGAAGACTCTGATAATTCTCAACTTTATATTGATATGAATCAAGTTCATATAGATGATTATGATATATTTAGTTCTTATATAAATTCTTATAAAGACCTTTATAATAATGAGTGTGATAATTTAGATTCTTATAAACTATTACAAGAAACTGTTGAAAGCAATAAATCTTCTACATTAAAGTTATTTATATATAATTATTTTAAAAAACAAGACAATATTCTTTATGCTAAATGCAATCTTTGTTATCCCAAATATGTATTAATTAAATATGCTGATAGCTCAATATCAGGTCTTAAAAAATATCTTAATATATATAAAAGAAAGATGCCCAAATTAAATAAAGAAAAATCAAAGATTGCTGTTATTTATATACTATATAATCAATCATCTACTAATAATCAATATTGTAAACCTTTTAAATTATTATATTTTAAAAATCTTATTAAATGTTGAATCATTAAACATAACTGATTATTCAATATTATAGAAGATAATAATCTTAAAGAAATATTCTTATATTTAGAACCTAAAGCAATTGCATCATCTGCTGATTTAGTTAAAAGACATATTATGAATAATTTTCAAGAAGAACATAATAAGCTCTGTAAAAGATTACAACAAATTCTTGAAAAGTTTTCAATAACAACAGACATTTGAATGATGGATAATAATAATAAATTATTTATGACAATTACTTTATATTATTTAGATAAATCTTGAAATCTAAAAAATATTCTTTTAGATTTTATTAACATGGATGGTCTATATATAGGTTTGAAAATTTCTAATAATATAAAGAATTGTCTTAAATTAATAGAAATTATATCAAAGCTAATAGCTATTATACCTACTTCTAATGTTAAATTTGTACAAAACTTTTCTAATAATATGGTATAATTAGGTTTTCAATTTAATAATAATCAATAATCTATAAGATATTTTGCTTATATTTTAAATCTTGCAATTCAAAATATGCTAAATATTGTAGGAGTTGAAATAGATAAATTATGAGGTTTAATTAAATGTATTTGTAACTTACAATTATAATGTAAAAAGTTAAAAACAATTTGTTTAATACATAGTATAAATATAATAAAACTAATTCTTGATGTGGTTACCAGATGGAATTCCACATATGATATGTGTAAATAGGCAATAGTATTAAAAGCTGTATTAGATTCAATAGCTCTTACTGAAGTAGAATAATGACAATATATTTTTATAGATGAAAACTAGAAGAAAATAGAACTTCTTGTTAAAATCTTGTAATCATTTAAAGATGCAGTGCCAATTATGTTTGCATTAGTATATCCAACTCTAACAATAACCATTCCCCTATATATTACATTGTTTGAAACTCTTGAAGAAATTAAAAAAAAAGCATCAATTTGGCTCACTCAAGGATATAATGCTGCAAAAAAAAAACTTATCAATTATTGTAATAAACAAATATATTGTATTTTGCATTTGCTGTTTTAGATCTATGGCTTATATTTCATTTTTTTAAAAAGTTAAATTTGCTAGCACAACTTGTTATTGATATTAAAAACATTTTCAAAACTAAATATAAAAATGAATATATATCTTTTTCAAATCAAAGCACTTCATATAAAACTGTTACACAATCTACAATAATGACTCAAATTTATAAGCAAATACATACAGATCAATAATGTAAATTAGATATTTATTTCTCAATGCCATGTGAAGAATCAGATGTTAATATATTAGAATGATGGCAAACAAATGAAAAAACCTATCTGAATCTTGCAAAATTTGCACAAGACTGTTTATCTATTCCTGGTACAAGTGTTTCAAGAGAATATATACTGTATTTAGTATTAGTGGTGATATGATAAGTGATAAATGGAATCGACTAAGTGAAAAAACAGTTTGATCAGCAAATTGTTTAAGATCTTGGTGGTAGGAATATCAAGATTAATTAGATATATATAAATTTATTTAAAACAAATTGCATAAATAATAATACTAATAAGCTTTTTTTTTAGTGAAAGATATTAGTCATTCTTATTTGATTAATCTTTTCTTTTAGTTAAATTGTAATGAATAAGATTATGAATAATCAAATTTTTTTATGTTTAAATTAGTAGTAGCTAGTTTCTTATAGCAGTATGATATTATTGTAAGAAATATGATATTATTATAAGCAGCATAATATTATTGTAAATAGTATGATATTATTATAAGCAAAATTAATTTCTTTATACTTTTAATTAAAATTCAGGTTATTATAAATAGAAAATAAGAATTAGGATTATTTATAAATAAGAGATAAGAATTAGAGTTAGAAATAATTCTAACAAAGTAATTCAAATTGATATTTAAATATGCATAAGCCATCTATATGCTATTGAAATTAATTAAAACAAGTAATTCGTTACAGCTATGAAATTAGCATGTCAAAGGTTTATAATAATTAAACTTAATCGAATTGATGTATTTGATAAATATCTATCACTATAAATTACGCTTTATTTTAATATATTTATAAATACATTATCAAATATAAAAATTATTTGGTAAGTGATCTTAAGTATATTCACATTCATTTAGTAAATAATATATAGTTACCAATGAATTAAAATATAGTGTCAAGTAGCTATGTACAAATATATCTACGTCGCACAGTATTTATTTTATTAATAACGAAAAAATTTATTTTAAATGCCTACTTGGAAATTTTTTAAAATAATTAATCAGGTTTTGGTTCGGCTCCGGGTTTTGGTATCACGGTTCCGGGTTTAGATACAGAGCTGAATCGATTTTTCGGTTCGAGACCGGTTTTTCATAATACCGGACCGTGCGGAACACTAGTCCGCACTATAGAATTATACCGAATCATAATAATCTCGACAAAAATTATATAGGATAACTTTCTTGTGATTGGTTAATCACATAAATTGAATATTACGTCATGATTGGTCACTTTGCAGATCATGTGCCAACTAGCCAATCAAATTTTTTTATTTGTTATAAACAATACAAGAATATTACTGTTAACCCCTGTAATTTAATATCATGTGATATTAAGCAGAAATGTAACACCAATGCCAAGAGTGCTAAGTAGC